AAMYWWTAAAACATTASTRAGGTACCAAACAACTACAAGCTAACAAAAAACTACCATTAACTTACTATTTTCTTTCATCCTGCCCTCTTGTCTTTAGGGGGCATGGGGTGCCAAATTAACTTTTTTGTGATTTATATCATGTTATAATGTCTATTCCTTTTCAACACATACCAAACGTTGCWTTGGCTCATTCATGCATGTTTGAGAAATCCTCAGATCTCTTATGTTAACCATGTAGAACTGTCTAAACATAAGCACTGCCCATTCGTACAAAGCTCCTCCCTGGAGCTCAGTCTGCAGCCGAGCTCCCGCCCCACAGAGCGCCCCTCCCCCAAAAGCATTACTGTGAAGAAGTGCTGAAGTGGAAGTGTCAGAAACGGTAGGAGCTTCTTAAAGCGACAAAGGCCAGTTTCGATGTGTTTAGTCTTTGGTATCTTTCCTTTGAGTTTGGTGTAGTCAGTTATTAAATTGTCACAAATAAAACAAAATAAGATTTGCGCATGTTTATTATTACGATCACGCCCACATTGAGGCAGCGCTCTTAACGCGAACACAACCAGGGCCGGCGTAGAAACGGGCTGGGCTGACTGGAGCAGGGGCAGGCCGAGCCAGGTTTTATAACGTAAAAATGTCTTGTGAGACTGAAATACAGAGACAAAAGTGCATGCAGTATGTAAAAACTGAAATGAGGCGTATTTTGCATAAATAAATATATGTTGTTGCATAATWAAAAGTGCACAACAGCATATGTAATCACAGACCACTAACCAACAATTTGCATAAGTACTCACTTAAAACTGAAACTGCCAAAGAAAAGTCAAATGCATCTAAAACCAGATGTTATTCTCAACCAATAAACTATGGAAGAGCTAGCTCAGTGTGATAAAACTAATCATGACTTCTCAGCTTCCTGTTTTCTTCTTCTTCTTCTTTTGTCGTTTTGTTGCAAACTTATTCCGCAACCCTGTGCATTCTCACTGAGAGCACATTTGTTCTGACGGCTGGCCCCCTCCTTAAGCTCAAACCTCCTCACTCTCACTCCTGCACGCCTGCAGTTCGATTTGGCCTTCCACCAAGCCGAAACGCCACGCAGACTCCTTCACTGGTGCACATTATGTTGACGAGCAGGACTCAAGCTGCCATATTGTTCTAGAAGATTTTGGCTCAAACTCCTCCGATGTGAGGCAACAATGTCTCCCCAAGGATGGTCGTTACAGTGCCAGAGCATTGTTTAGAAAGTGAAATGCACAAAAATACAATCSGAATGTAAACTACAAGTGCAAACAATATGAGTGGGATTACTTGTATAATTAAAAGCTGAATTTGGCAAATCTGTATAACTCATGTTGGGTATTGTCAAACAACACAAATGTAACTTTTGTTCGAGGACGCTGTAATTTGTTGACTCTGGAACCAGTCAGATGTTTTATTGAACAACCCCATGTCATTTATAAGCTATTAAATTGTACAATTTTAGGAAAATGTTGGCTAACTTTGAATTTGATAGCAGCAGCACATCTCAAAAAGACAACACAGGGTCATGTTTACCACTGTGAAGCAACCCCTCTTCTTTTAACAACTGAGATGAGCTGCTGGAGTTTTTGGAGGTCTCATTCTTATTTAATTTACGATTGGATTTTTGGGTTTYACGATGCATCAAATGTTTTCATTTGGTGAGAGTTCTGGACTTCAGACAAGTTCAGCACCTGAAATCTTCTCCTCCAATCCCATTTGTTTTTGTGTGCAAGCAGGTAGCCGTCAGTGTTTGTGTGGAGTTGTTCCTCACAAGTTTCCTCTGACAGCTCCCAGATATCTCAGTCAGGTCTGTKCGTCTTTGACCTTTCACACATGAGTGCACAATAATTAGGTGAATAAATCAATAGATGTATAAGACGCTTACCACTGTATAATCTGCTGAATAGATTAGGGCATAAAATATGTTAATCGGAACAGGTGCAAAAGTTTTGAGTCATCCCTCGTTTCTTTGCGTTTTGCTTCCAAGGAGTCAAACTTAATTATCTTTGTCAACAGTGTTTCAGACTTTCTTTGTTTTTTCTTTAATTTGTATTCATTGAACCAGACTATTTTCTGGGGGATATCCTTTTTGACCACCTAATGCTAAATTATAAATAGGTCAATGTAAAAAAAAGTAAGAATTGTCCCTCTTTTCTTTATACACAGCACAGAACAAAACCGTTTTTTACCATCCAGTTGTCACAAAGTAACATGTTGACATTTTTAAAGTTGTGTTTTATAAAGAAAAAATGCCAAAGGGAGCACAGACTGACAGCTGTAAAACAGTGTTTTTACACCAACAAGTTGAGTCCCAGAGATCTGCAGAAAATCTGTCATATCTTGACTGAAGTTCTTTCAAGTTTTGAACAAAGAAGACAAATAAAAAACTAAAGACCTGAAAGATATCAGTGTCTCAAACAAGAAAAAGAAGGAGCCTAGTCCGGTGATTAAACTGTGATCAGATTATAAATTAAACCACAATAATGGATCATAATAAAGTTTTAAGAGGTCACTCTTATTAATTTGTTGGGATTTATTAGGCAAAATGCCAAAAAAATTTAGGGGCTTTAATCGTTTGGCTTTTTGCCTAATAAACCACGATAAATCACAAAAAAGTGATTTGAAGTGACCTGAGTTTAATTAGATCGTTTTAATTTACGGCAGCTGCTCTTTCTCCTGCTTTAATTGTCCTAAAATATTTATCTAAATGTGCGACGTGTACTGTTTTATAACTGTAAAAAGGAAAAAAAACGTATACACCCTCCAGGTACGAGGTGTAAATCGAGGAAAATTTAAATCAACCAGCCTTCTAAACAAAGCTGTAAAAGAAACGGCAATAATCATGTTAAAAACAAGAGGCACGTTACATCACATCGTTTTTTAACCTTCTTAGCTAATATTGTATCATGATGCCAAAACAGTTTTGACAGTTGGGGATGTCTGAGGGTGTCCTGTGATGTGTGGCAGTGGGATGTCAGCAGTAGATCCTCTGGGGGGGTGCCTCTGTGATTTGGGCTTCCTCTGGCACATCCTGTGGATCTTTGATCTAATTGGGATCTGGAGAGTCTGAAGAACAGATCTGCTTCCTAAGATTTTTTTTATTTGTTTGTTTCTTGTGCAGTTCTGAAGCATTTATTGTGTTGTGACATAGTATGTTGTCATCTGGATAGGAGATGGCGTACAAAGTTCTATAAAAGAGTATTTTACTGTGATGAGATGGCATACTGTATATCAGGGCTATTCAACTGGCAGACCACAGGCCACATCTGGCCCGCAAGTGACCAAAGTTCGGCCCGCCAATTGGTTCATTCATCTCTTAAGCCCAAACCCCCGGATTTCTACTTTAATTACTCTAAGTTCTGTTAGTTAAACATAGAAATGTTTGGTATCTACAGAAATGTCAGAATCTTGGCTAGAAGCTGGTAAAAACCATTTCTATAAACACTCAGGACAGTTAAAACTACAAGCAGTTGAAGATAAAATGATGAAAGTGAAAATAAAATTGGTTTACAAATTTGGCAAGTCAGAGATGTCAAAATATTATTTGTGTCTAATAATAGGAGGCTTAATGTGTTCTTTTTATTTTTGATAATGTGTAATTATCACTACTTTTATAGGGTTCTGTACATTTTATTCATGATTAAATGCAGCAAAATAAATTAATTCAGAGGTAACAGATCTTTGTAATACTTGGTTTATTTACATAATAACTTTAATTGCTGGATGTTCGGTCCCTCAACTGTTGACCGGCAGTAACTGTGGCCCTCAGAGAAATTTAGTTGAAGAGCCCTGCTATATATTATTTACTTCAAATGTCAGTGCTTTGAATGTTTAGACCAGGGGTGTCAAACCTATTTTCACCGAGGGTCATACGAGCTTTTTGTGGTCTTCAAAGGGCCATTTGTAATTAACTTCTTGTTCCTCATCTCATTGCAAAGGCTGAATACTGCTAACAAACAATAACTGAACTCCATGTGGTATTTTGTGCATAGAAGCAATTCCAGCCTGGTGAATCCTGGCATCATCTTGGAATATACCCATCCCATCAGGGAAGAAAAAAACCCATTGATGGAATAACCTGGTCATTCAGTATATTCAGGTAGTCAGCTGACCTCATTCTTTGAGCACAAACTGTTGCTGAACCCAGACCTGACCACCTGCAGCAACCTCACATCATAAACCTTAGTCAAATACAGGTGGAGGCTTTCTTTTCGCCCAGGCCTGAACATTCCCACATTCCGACAAGGAATTCCCACTGTGTTCCAGTTTAAATTTACAGCTTGTTAATGGGAAATTCCCACTTCCTAGTATAACTGGGCCACAGCCAAAAGTAGCTGGCATAAATGCAGCAAAATGAAAAATTTAAACAGCAGATTTTGCCCTAATTTCAAGGGTAAAATAATCAGCCTGCATTATGGGAGATGTAGTATTTATTGTTAATGCTGGCTTTAAAGCACATGCACTTATTTTAAGACAATAATGGCTCTTTGAAGCTCTCACGGGCCACAGAAAATATGAGTTTGCTCCTGAGCCATGTGGACCTTTGAAATAAAAAAAAACTTAAATCTTAAATAAAAGTTCACGTGCGCAACTCCATTCATCTGCTTCCTCCTCAGATGACCCTGACCCACAGACCCCTCCCTGACCCACAAACCCCTCCCCGATAAGAACAGCAGGACAGCAAAAGTCACGCTTTGGATACACGCGCAGGGCGCATCCACCTCGCCAGTGTAGATGTTATAAAACTTCAGGTTGGGGGGTGCGTGTGTGTGTGTGCGCGGGGCGGGGGTGTCTGCCACAGATAACAGAGCAGGCAGGATGGGGAGAGGACGAGGAGA